AAACAGGTCAGGATTTTGGTGTTGTGTCTAAGGATTCTTCAGCAAGTTTAAGGCTCAATGGATTTTATCCTATTTTTTTCCTTAAAAAATGTTTTATTGTGTTAATCTATGACCCATTTAAAATTATTATAAGATTTTATTTAAAATTTAAAATTTTTATAAAATGTGAAGCTGAGATCAAGGTTCTTTTTTATTTTAATATAATAGTTTACTGGGCCCTCCGTGGTGGTACAGTGGGTTAAAGCACAGCACTAAGAAGCTAAAGCCACTTTATCATGAGTTTGATCTCCACCCTGGAGGTGATCCACATGGCCCAGCAGACCTTTCCTAGCCCGCCCACTGCTCCCCTCACAGTGTACTTTGTCAATGGGCCTGTTCTGCTCTCCATCTATCTCTAGTGAATTCTCTCACCACCACCCCACCCCCGCACCTCTGGCCCATACCCCATTTCTGTATGCATAAATAAATCTTTAAATAAATATATATAACAGTTTATTTTTACATAATTTTGTGCCTTTTTCCATCTTTGTTGTAATCCCTGTGTGCTTCCCATCACCATAATCCAGTGTACTTCTTCCCCCCCACTTCTGATCCCATTCCCCACCCTACCCCCATAAAATGTCTCTGGTATATAGTTGTTCATTTTTTTTTTTTCCTCCCCTGGTCCTTTATGTTCCTGCTATGAGTGAATCAAGTTTCTTTTTTTTTTTTTTAACCTATCCATAAAGAAGCTGAAAAAATAAGCTACAGGCTAGGAGAAATTACTTGTACAGTCCCTCTCTGACAAAAGACTCATATATAGACTCTCTAAAGACCTCTGAAAACTCCAGTCTGACTTTTATGCAACACTACTAATCATTCAGGAGTATAAATGTAAGCTTTAAAAATAAAGACCTCTGGTTAAAAAAGCAAAACCCTCAACTGCCAAAAAACAAAGGGAGGGGGGAATGCAAATTGAGACAATGAGACAGGACTATACATCTATTAGAACAGTTAAATAAAGCACAATGACAATACCAAATGCTGACAAAAATACATTCCTGTCATATATTACTAACAGGAATGTAAAATGGGACAGCCATTTTGGAAAAGTTTGTCAATGTCTTCAAAAACTAAATATACTATGATATGTATTCCTGGGCATTTATCTAACATTGCATTTCTGGACATTTATTTCAAAGAAAAATTATAGTCATATAAAAACTTGTACATAACAGTCAGAATAGTCCCAAATCAAAAACAATTAAATATCTAGTAGGTGAATGGTTAACTAAACTGGTACAGCTATGCCATGGAACACTACTCAGCAGTAAAAAAGAAACTACGATACATACAACTTGGATGGATCTCAAGGGAATTATGCTGAGTGACAAAAGTCAATCAAAAAAGGTCACATACTACATATAACTCCATTTATATAATGGTACAGAAAAAGATTTATAAGAGTGGAGACAAGATTAGCAGTCAGGTTAAAGAGGTAGATGTGACTATAAACAGGTAGCATGTAGGAAATTTTTGTGGTAACAGATTAGTTAGAATTAGTTCTGACTATGATGGTGGTTACATTAATATAAACATGTAATAATATGATACAGAACTCTATAAATACTTATACCAATGTCATTTTCCTAGTTTTGATCTTGTCCACTGTTATGTAAAACATAACCCAAGGGGAAAATTGGATGAAATGTATACAGGAATCTCTATACTACCTTTGCAACTTTCTGTGAATCTATATTATTTTCAAAAAATGTATTTTAAAGTGTAATTAATGTAAATTAAAAATTATACAAAAATGTGGGGAACATGGGAGATTTTACACATTCATTGAAAAGCATGACATTGTACTGAGTGCAAAACAGAGGGATGGGATGGCTAAGGCACAGTAGAGGAAGACAGCTAGAGAGTGTGATCATCTCTGTGAAATACAGTTCAATCAAACATTTATTGAGTATCTATTATATGTAAGACATAATCCTGTAAACAGTGGGATTTAAAAGACTCCCACTTCTTACCTATGAATTAATTTACTAAGAACATAAAACAGAGTAATATTAAAGGTTTCACGTTTTCTGTAAAAATAGTTCCCTTTGCCTGAAATGCTCTTTCTCTGTTTTTCTAGTTATTCTTAATGTATCCTCAAATTCTCAGCTCAGTGTTACTTCAAAGAAACTCTCCCTAGCTCTTCTTATTAACCTCCATATTTGATCAAATCCCTCTATTACACATTTATACAACAGTCCATATTTCTGTAACACTAATAAGCAATCACAAAGAACTGTATAACTAATTGACACCTATTTCCTCTATTACACTAAAATCTCCCGAAGGTAGAGACAGATTTGTAGAGATCACCTTTGTACCCAGTGCCATGCCTGGCAAAAGAAATAAACCATACAAAGCTGTAAGTCATATATACAGATGAATGTGCAGAAAATCAGATTCACTGGGGTTCGGAGACCCAAGATCACTTCAACTTCAGGAAGCCAGTTTAAATGAGATAGACTGTTCACCATGTAAAATATAAAGAATCTTATATCCAATGCTAACTATGAATGCCTGCCTTTTGGCAACAGAGAATCACTAAAGAATTGAAATAGGGAAGTGGCATATCCAGATAAAATTAATGTGGAGAATGCAATAGAATTGAGAAGAAAACACTAGGGGTGGTAAAAATAATTTTGTAGCTATTGTGGTAATAATTCAAGCAAAAATGATAGGGGGTGGAACAGAACAATAGGGACTGCAGGAACAGAAAGATGTGAGAAACACTAAAAATGAAGAGCCAACAGAACTTAAACAGTTAATGGCTACAAGGACAGGAAAGGGGGTAAAGTAAAGGTTGATTCAAAAGGCTTAGTAGTGAGTAGTAATGAAAAATAAATATCATTAACAGAAAAAGGAAATCATGACTAAGTCCTCTCAGGTGAAGAAGAACATTTGGTTGGCAGTGATAGGTAAGACTCAGACACTTGAAGACGAAAGAAGAAACATCAAAGGTGGCAGAGTAGATGTGAGTTGATCACATCAGATCTCTCAAAGGAAAAAAAGTTTAAAGGGTCTTGAATGAAAGTTCTTTAAAGACAATTTGATTTGCCCCTAGGGTGAATGACTGCTATAGAATCATTCAGACTGTGAGCTCCCTGAGGGCATGTCTGATCTCATTCTTGAGTGTTTCACAATAAGTAGCCTATTAAGGGAATCAATTATTTTCAAGATAATTTCTGATTTATTTTCCCGTCCCACCAGTACTTTCAAAAAGTGGCGCCCTAGGTAGTACTTAAAAAGACACAATTTTTTAATTAATATAATCAGTGAGTTTAAACAGTATAAGTGAATTAAGTCTTAAGCGCTAGTTTCCCCAGGCTCTAGAACTAAAGAATTGACAAATCTGACTTTTTGGGACTATGAAAAACCTTGAAAAAAAAAAAAGAAAAATAAAGCACCCAACAAGACTAAAGCAAATCCCATCAGAATAAGGAACCCTTCGAGAAGCTTTTAAATAAATTAAGTAGGAAATACTATTTACTAAGTGAGATGAAAATGTTCTATTGAATGTACTATACAAGCACACAATGTACAAAAAGTACAGAAATTTCAGGTGAAATGAAGGGATAATATGTGATAAAGGGTAAATGAAAACAGTCCAGATGCATACTTAAAAAAAAAAAAGGTATGATGAGGGAAGTCATTGACCTGTTTTCCCTCAAAGCATTCCTAGGTATTATAGTCAGAGGTGGAATAATGGGCTAATCTAATTCAATACTTAGATAAGCAGTAAGTATTTTTCTCAAGTTGCAATGTTAAAATAAGAAAAAGATTGTTAAAATAGATCCGGGGACAAAGTTTGCCCTCCCCCAATAAATCAGGGTTTTACTATACTACAGTGCTCTAATCTGGAATAATAAGCAAATGTTGAAGGTGTCTTCAGATAGGTGAATATGTTTATAAAAGTTAGGGGAAAGAATAGAAAGTGGTTGAGGTCAGAGAATCTTAGAAACCTGACAAGTCATCCATAGCCCAACAACTCTCAACATCAGAATGATTTCCACACAATCTAAAAGATAACAACCAGCCTTTACTTGCTTATTTTCAACAACAGCAAAGAAATTGACCAATGCTTAGTAAGACAGTTATAATTTGTTGCAAAACCCTCGGAAGCTATCTCCCAATAACTTTCACCCATGGTCCTGATTCTTAACAGCAACCTGGTGAAAGTTGAAAGCCGAAAGCTGTGTTTCTTTTCAAGTAAAGTTTTTTTTTAGATACCTAGGTATTATTTCCTGGCATAGCAATACGTCCCCTTTCTTGCTCAACAACAGGAAAACTTGATTCCTACACCCACCCCCAATACGTTTGATTCGCTTTACAGCAAAATGGACAGGCAGGTACAGGATCCTTAAACTCAGAGCTGCTACATCCCCAACCAAGCGGAAAAAGGGGGCTTAAATAACCACATAACACTATATAAAATCCCCGTTGCCGAGTAGCAAACAGTTCTAGCCATGCCCGGGTGCTGAGACGCAACAGAAGCCACACAGATGTGGCCTGGCAGCTCTAAGGGTAAGGGGACTGCACCTCTTCTTGCCAAAGACGCGGGAAGCTGAGTGGGTGCTGTTCCCAGGCCAACTGCAAGCCCAACGCCTCGCAGCCCTGAGCGCTCAGCTCCGGAGAAGTGGCATCGCGAAGGGAAGGCTAAGTGGAACTCCTGGCAAAGCCAAGCCGCGCCGTCAGGCCTGCCACTGGTACGCCCAACCAATCCGCCCGCGGGACGTCGTCCTGAGAACCAGCACCCTTGGGAGCTCTGGGAGTTGGAGACGTTTCTGGGTCGGCCAGAGTCCAGTCTATCCCACCCGCCCACTCTCTCACTACCCCCCCGCCAACGCTGAGCCCGAGGCCACCCCAAGGGGTGGTGCCCAAGAGGAACACCACATTTAGGGGGAATGCTGCGGGCCGGGCCGAGCTCCCGGACGGGCGGGCGGCTTCAGCGGGTCACTCACCGAGAGAACGCTCATGCGGATTGGGGTCTCCAACAAGCACGCCATCTTGAGCCTTCCCACCCGGCTGCAGCCGGCGCCGGCGCGGGGGCCGGCACTTTCGACAGCCAACTATTGGGCCAACGAAAGGCAAGTCGGCAGAAAGTCGGACTGGTAAGCGAGAACGGACCACGCTCTACACGCTGCTGAAATACGGCCAGGACCGGCAGGAAGGACAGCAAAAGAAAACCGCGCCAGGGGCGGCCTCACGAATCGTTCTCTCAGAAATAGCAGCTACTCTCAGTCTGGGCTAGAGGTGGGAGCGGGCAGCAGTTTCCGCATGCGCAAAGAGGATCTGTCGGCCCCACCTGCCGCCCGCGCGGGCGGGGCGGTGCTAAGGGGGCGGGGCGAGGCGGAGCCTCAGGGGCGGAGTATAGCTTTGGCTCTCTAAGGTACGCGGACTGATTGGTTGCAATTTATGAGGTCGGACATTTATATTCCTAACTGATAGTTTATGGAACCGCGCACATAGTTTGAAGTTCATTTTCACATTTATTATCTTATTCCTCGTTGTGCCAAACCCCTTAGTGTCTTTATCTCCATTTTACAGATGGGAAAACTATGATCTTAGAACCAGGTCTGCTGCCACCAATGAGAATGACTGCTTCAGGATCCAAATGAAGTGGGAAATACTTTATCACTAACTGCCCAACCCAAATTTTCTGGTAGTGTCAAGAATAGATAACGCTAATAAGAGCCAGAACACCTGTTTTTCATTCTTACTACTTCGTTTAGGTAATTGCCTTCAGCAAGTTGCTTGACTGCTTTATGTCTCAGTGAAATAAGGGTTAGGACAGAAAACGCTTATTTGGAAAGTACTTCCAAGAAACAAAATTGATGGGCCAGAAAGAGTAAGCAAAGAAAGAAAAACCAATATAAGTGTTAATTTTTCAAGTCACTACTTATCCTTATAAACATATAGAATGCCCTCCCCCGCTCCCCATCATATCCACCTTGAGATGGGAGCATTTATCTTTCACTCCTACCTGTAATTGGATAAGGGCTTCCCCAAAAGTTTTAATTCTCTTCCCACCTGGAACAAAGAGGGCTTCTTTAGTTTGATCTCAAAAAACAGAATCTCTAGACTAACACGTGGAATGGGATATATTTTGAGGCAGTATGAGTCTGAGCTTACAGCAGAACCATGACTAGTTGTATGTGAAATCAAGGGGAGGGTCTTGAGTCAAGTAGAAAAACTTCTGTTATGCTGACTTTCCTGTTTTTCTTGACATACCCATTTTATAGAAAAAAAATATTATTAGCAACCCTCTATTCTAGGGGATCAGGAATTTCATTTCTAGTTTAAAATTTGCTGCTAAATAACTTTATCCATACATTTTAAGTCTAAGTAATGAGTAGAATTTGAGGGGTGATTAAAAAATCTTGATTCAGTAGCAAAACAGTTAGCCTTGGCACTCAGCAGTATTAATTTCTGAAAAAAATAAAATTGTGAGTTGAATAAAGAAAAATTATGACTGTGGGACAGAAAACAGGCAGTGAGAAGGAATTATGAAAAGTGCTTATAAATATTTAAGTAAAACTTTCAGGACAGAGAAAGAGAACCATGTTTTTTAATAGAAACATAACTATGCAAAAAAGATATAGAAAGATAGACATAATTGGGGCCATCCCTGGTGGCACAAAAGGTTAAAGCCCAGCACTATGAAGCTATCTGCAGTCACTGCAGCACAAGTTCAATCTTGGCTAGGAGGTGACCCACATGGCAAACCAAATTTCTCCTGTCTTGTCAGCTGCTCTTTTTTTTTTTTTTTTATTCATACAGATCTGGGGTACAGGCCAGAGATGCGGAGGGTGAGAGGATTCACCAGAGACAGAGTGGGGAGCAGAACAGGCAGATCAACGAAGTACACTGCTGAGGGGAGCAGCGGGCAGGTCAGGAGAGGTCTGCCACGCCATGTGGTCACCTCCGGGGCAGGCGGGGATCGAACTCATGCGGAAGTGGCCCTAGCTTCTCAGTGCAGTGCTTTAGCCCGCTGCGCCACCAGGGAGGGCCCGCCTCAGCAGTCTTTTTCAGTCAGCTTGCCTGTTCTACTCCCCACTGTCTCTGGTGAATCCTCTCACCCCCCACACCTCTGACCTCTACCCAGTCCTTGCATGCATAAAAAAATAAATCATAGAAAAAGATAGATATATGCTTTTTCACCAACTATATAAGTCTCATAGAGGCCCTGTTCAGGTGGGCATGGGCTGTCCCACCCTTTAGATACATTGGAATTCCATTGTCCTCCTCAAATAGTTTTTGTCTCTCTGGAACTTTATTTTCAGATTGTTTGGGTGGACCAATACTTAAGGTTCTCTAGGTAATGTGATGAGGTCAGCAGATTCCACAGCATCTTGGCTCAGTTACTGCCCACCAACTTCAACAAAAGAATCTAGTTTTATTTCAATAGATATCAAGGGTGGGTTTACTTTGTGCACACATTTTACTTTGGATTTAAAGCGGAATAAAGATGTGTTTCAAAATGGAGAAGCAAAAGCAACAAGTTAGGCAAAGTGAATCGGATCTTTTTATCATTTACAATTCAGGAATGGAATCTGGAAGTCAGAAAACCTATAAACAACAGCTGTATTTTTGTTTTTTCCCTAATGAGACCAGAGGTCCCATGAAATGTCTGCTAAGCTTAAAATGCAAAGCTAGAGACAGCACTGAACCTTACCTCTGTGATGTTTGTTTGCATCTCTTTTAGTTCAATGTTACCATCACAGATGAACTTTCCTTTAATAGTTCTCCTGGAGTTAGCGCATGCTGCCATCAGGTGGTGTTTGGTGCAATAATCACTTACAGTTTGACAAGGATGGAACTTTTTCCTGATGTTTGTAATACTTTATTTATAAACTGACTTGAAAACTCATTGTCCAGATATCTCCATGGTCACTCTCTGGATTCATGAATGTTTCTGCTCAATATGTCACACTGTCAGTGTGGTCTTCCAGAACCACCCTATGTTCATTAAGTACCTACCTCTCACCACAATATTTCCTATTCCCTTACACTGTTCTATTTTTAATCATCCATCAATTATATAGGCTGTTCTTTCTTCTTTTATCCTATATTCAATTCTTATTTGACTGAATTTCATTGTTAATTTTTTTCCCCAAAAGTGTCATTTGGTATTGTCTCCCTGAGATTCTTTAATAGTTAGACATTTTGTTGTCTTTTATTTGAATAATATCTTCACTGATAAAACATACAGAAAATCAGAACCCATCCTAGGTATTTTGAGCAAAAAGATTACAAAGTTATTGGAAATCCTAAAGATGCAAACAGAGAGGGAATGTTTTCCTTAATATCAGAATAAGGGGCTCTCCCTGGTGGCGCAGCTGGTTAAAGCACTTCACTTTGAAGCACTGTATTTTGAAGCTCTCCAAAGCCACTGCAGCATGAGTTTGATCCTGGCCAGGGGGGTGACCCACACGGTGTGGCAGATCTCTCTTGACCTGCCCACTGCTCCCCTCAGCGGTGTACTTTGTCAATCTGCCTGTTCTGTTCCCCATTCTGTCTCTGGTGAATCCTCTCACCCACCACACATCTGGCCTGTTCCCCCGTTCTGTAAAAATAAATAAAAAAAATCTTAAAAAAAAAAAAAAAGATCAGAACAGGAAGTTTACCACCACTCAAAAAGCTACTAGCACCATTGCAAGAGCCAGAAGAAAAAAAATGAATGGCTGTTATCTTTCTCTGCCTTCGAATCTCACCAAGTATTTTCTTATTTAAGACTTATTTATTTATGCATACAGAACTGGGGTACAGGTTAGAGGTGGGGGGGCGTGGTCTGTGAGAGGATTCACCAGAGACAGAGTGGGGAGCAGAACAGGCAGGTTGACTGAAATACACTACTGAGGGGATCAGTGGGTGGGTCAGGAGAGGTCTGCCACTCAGTGTGGGTCACCCCCCTGGCCAGGGATTGAAATTTTGCTGCAGTGGCTGTGATAGCTTCATAGTGCTATGCTTGAACCGGTTGTGTCACCAGGGAGGACCCCATGTCTTCTTTTTTTTTTTTTAAGATGTATTTACTTAAGGGCCCACCCTGGTGGCACAACAGGTCTAAGCAATGAAGCTATCTGAAGCCACTGCTGTGCAGAGTATGTACATATATATGTATATGTACAAAGGGATATACATATAATATATATAATTGGAGAATAGATACTCCTTCATTCCTGACTATTTCAGCATATTCTCTAAAAAACAAAGAATCCCCTTACATAACCAGAGTAAAATTAATAAAATTAGAAAATTAACACTGATACAATAAAATCTGCAAACCCTATCCAGACTTAGTCAATTTCCCTATTTTTTTATAGCACCGCATTAAATTCAAACATCATGAATTAGCAATATCCTTTAATTGTTATTTTTTTCCCATTCTGTCCTTATATTTCATGATCAGTTATTTTTCAATATCTCAATTTTAATTTGTCTGATATTTTAATTGTCAAGATTTCAGGTTATGCATTTTTGACAGAAATGCTGAAGACGTATGTCATGTCAGAAGGCACCCAATGTGAATATATCATTCCTAATGAGATTAACTTTGATCACCATTAAACTGGTGTCTACTAGTGTAAAATTCCTATTTTTCTCTTTGTTATAGTAAGTATCTTCTGGAGAGAAACTTTGAGACTATGTAAGTAGTGTCAAATAACAGCTACCTTGTAAGTAAGTATCCTTTTCAAAGTTTTAAACCTTTGGTTTTAGCATTCATTGAAGATTCTTATTTGCTACAATAGTGATGGTAGTAGTGATGTTGGTGGTAGTAAAGTGGGGATTTCTAACCCTAAATTACCTTCTATATTTATCAGTCAGCATTCTTGTGTAAATAAGGGCCTTCTCTTGTCCTTGTTATTTATTTACATAAATGTGGGACAATAGATTCCCATTTTATTGAATGAACTAGATAGTCTGTAACCATAATTATGCATTTTGATGTTGAATTTGTTTCAGATTTTACCAATAGAAAATTATTTAATCAGTGTTCTTTTGACATCTTCAGATTCTTTGGGCACTTCCTTTCTTTCCAAGATAACCCATGTTCATTTGTACATTCTCTACCCTGAATCAATCATTTTACCAAGCAGATTTGAATATTTTAAGAGAAGAATGATATTTAGCAACAGAACCCTAATTTAAATAACATTTCCATGCTGTCTCACCTCAGACTATACTCTAACATGTACCTATAATTGATATGGTTTCATTTTTATGTTGCTTATTGTGGCATGGAAATTTCTTTCCCACCAGATCTATGGATGCTTGTTTTCCTCACAGACCACAGATACATTTTGAGAGTGCCTGTATGTTCAGTGGTCCTTCATATTTCTCAAAATATTATTCACAATACATTTCCCCCATCAACCTTCTCTTTTATTCTCACTCAAAATGGAAAAAGGGTAAGGTTTTCTGTATATTTGATTGACTCTGGATTTGAGAAAATCAATGAGAACTCTCAAATTTGTTGGCTAACCAATATGACCTCTGGAAATGGGATGTGGGTTGGGGATAGAGTGAGGAGCTGAAACACAATGAACTTCAATTTTCTTCAAAAGCTTCTATTGTTTTTTTGACTACTAGATTTTAAATGTTATGACATTAAATTAGGCTCCCTACTGGTCACCAAGTTAAAAAATTCAAGTTGACAGATGTATCACATTTTTGCTGTAAAATCTACACGGACTACAGGGAGATACCATTATGTCCCTAACAAAATGACTAAAATTTAATACACAAGTAGTGCCAAATGCTGTTGAACATTGGAAAGTAATTGGAATGCTACTATATTAGGAACCTGTGAATTAGTACAACTACTGTGAAATTGATACTATTGAAGTTAAACATGTATCTATTCTATTTTTAAGAGATTCCACTCCTAGGTAATAGCCAAAGGAAATAAGTGCTATGTTCACCAAAAGGTTTTACACCATTGCATTGATACATGGCTACTTTATTCATGAGAAACAATTCCAAATGTCCTTCAACAGGAAAATACATAAATAAACTGTAGTACATACATACAATGGAATGCCACATAGCAATTAGAAATAACATACTCTGTCTATCTATAGAATAGATTCATGGATTTATTAAAAAACAAGACTACAGGCTCAAAATAGAGACTTAATTACTAAGGCTCTGTCACCAAACTGAAACTTAATTGCAGTTTTGACTGTCCCAGAAGTGGAATTTAGACCACTCAATTAAAAATTGCCTGATAAGGCCCTCCCTGGTGGCACAGTGGGTTAAAGCACAGCACTAAGAAGCTAAAGCCACTTCTGCATGAGTTCGATCCCCACTTGCCCGGGAGGTGACCACATAGCGTGGCAGACCTCTCCTGACCCGCCCGCTGCTCCCCTCAGCAGTGTACTTTGTCAGTAGGCCTGTTCTGCTCCCCACTCTGTTTGTGGTGAATCCTCTCACCACTCTTGCATCTCTGGCCTATACCCCAGTTCTGTATACACAAATAAGTAAATCTTAAAAAAAAAAACACAATAAAACTGCCTGGTCAACACTAGCTTGGCCATCTTTTTGCCATTCCTTAAAAGAAAGTAAATTCAAAATAACCATGGGGGCGGGGGGGGGGGTGAGGGTGGTGGCTGGGTATTACTTCCTTGTTCCACTTCCTTTGGTGATAAATGCCTCTCATTTTGTATAGCTCCTTAAAGTTCCTTTCTATCTGCTAGATTGGATGCTACCTTACTTGACTTGATTTTTTTCCTCAAGTAAACTCTTAAAATTTTAAACATACCATAGCTTATCTTTTTTTTTTTTTTTAAGATTTATTTATTTGTACAGAACTGGGGTACAGGCCAGAGATGCGGTGGGTGAGACAGAGTGGGGTACAGAACAGGCAGATCGACAAAGTACACTGCTGAGGGGAGCAGCGGGCAGGTCAGGAGAGGTCTGTCTCGCCATGTGGATCTCCTCCGGGGCAGGCGGGGAATCGAACTCATGAGGAAGTGGCTTAAGCTTCTTTGTGCTGTGCTTTAATCCGCTGTGCCAACAGGGAGGGCCCCATATCTTATATTTTAATAGATAAATTCTACAAACAATAAGCCAGACATAAAAGAATAAATAATACGTACAGACATTTATGTGAAGCTTAAAAGTAAGCAAAAATGATTTAATTCTTACACAGGTCAGAATAGTGCTTTATTTTGGGGGAAGAGATCTGACAAGGACATGACAGTTTTTTTTAATGTTGAAACTATTCTATATCTTGATATGGATGGTAGCTATATGGTGGATTATGCATGCAAAAAGTCATCAAATTTGATTTGTTCACCTTACTCCTAATTATATCTTTTTTTAAAAAATTTATTTATTTTGCACATACAGAAGTGGGGTACAGGTCAGAGGCTCAGGGGCAGCGAGAGGCTTCACTAGAGACAGAGTGGGGAGCAGAACAGGCAGATTGACAAAGTACACTGCTGAGGGGAGCAGCGGGCGGGTCAGGAGAGGTCTGCTGCACCATGTGGTCACCTCAGGGGCAGGCGGGGATCAAACTCATGCGCAAGTGGCTTTTGCTTCTTCGTGCTGTGCTTTAACCCGCTGCGCCACCAGGGAGGGCCCTAATTATATCTTTTTTTTAAAAAAGATTTTATTTATTTATGCATACAGAACTGGAGTACAGGCCAGAGGTGTAGGGGTGGTGAGAGGATTCACCAGAGACAGAGTGGGGAGCAGAACAGGCAGATTGACGAGGTACACTGCTGAGGGGAGCAGGGGGTGAGACAGGAGAGATGTGCTGCACCACGTGGATTACTTCTGGGACTGGGATCGAACTTACATTGAAGTGGCTGTGGCAGCTTGAATGCAGAGTCCTTACCCGTTGAGCCATCAGGGAGGGCCCACTTCTAATTATATCTTAATTAAAATATTTACATGGAGGAAAAACAATTAAGAAAAACGAATTCATGTGTATTAAAAATAAAATGGTGGCGTGGCAGACCTCTCCTGACCCTCCCGCTGCTCCCCTCAGCAGTGTACTTCGTCCATCTGCCTATTCTGCTCCGCACTCTGTCTCTGGTGAAGCCTCTCACCGCCCCTGAGCGTCTGGCCTGTACCCCAGTTCTGTATGTACAAATAAATAAATCTTTAAAAACAATAAAATGGAAAAATGTTAAATTTTACAATGCTGTAGAAAGTATCTGTTGTTCTTAGAGATTTCAAAAGCCGATTTCAGAAGGAAAGCACAATACTAAAAAATTGAAAATATTATTTTTCTACTCTCCTGATTAACTTAAATGTCATGAAAATTATATATACATATTATTTATATGTATTTAGTAAATTTGAAAGAAATTATCCACAAAACACTCTGGTACCTTGTCTTTCATGGATTTATATATTCACAACTTTTTCAGTGTTTCTGTATTGTCATTGCCTAGTAACATGTCCTTCATAATTTGTTTTGATTTTGGTGTCTCTGTTCCTAGAATGTTATTTATTTTATTTTTATTTATTATTATTATTATTATTATTTTTAATAAATCTTTTTTTAAAAAGATTTATTTATTTATTCTTACAGAACTGGGGTATAGGCCAGAGATGCGGAGGGTGAAAGGATTCACCAGAGACAGAGTGGGGAGCAGAACAGGCAGATCTACGAAGTACACTGCTAAGGGGAGCAGCGGGCCGGTCAGGAGAGGTCTGCGGCACCATGTGGTCACCTCAGGGGCAGGCAGGAATCAAACTCATGCGCAAGCGGCTTTAGCTTCTTCGTACAGTGCTTTAACCCGCTGCGCCACCAGGGAGGGCCAATAAATAAAATATTTTTAAAAAATAAAAATAAAAATAAGGCCCTCCCTGGTGGCGCAGCGGGTTAAAGCACTGTACAAAGAAGCTAAAGCCGCTTCCGCATGAGTTCGAATGCCGCCTACCCTGGAGGAGCTCCACATGGCGCCGCAGACCTCTCCTGACCCGCCCGCTGCTCCCTTTAGCAGTGTATTTTGTCAGTCTGCCTGTTCTGCTTCCCACTCTGTCTCTGATGAAGCCTCTCGCCGTCCCTGAGCCTCTGGCCTGTACCCCAGTTCTGTATGCACAAATAAATAAATCTTTAAAAAAATATGGGGTATAGGCCAGAGATGGGAGATGGTGAAAGGACTCACCAGAGACAGACCTACTCTGACAGACAACAGAACTGGTGGATTGACTGAAACGCACTGCTGAGGGGAGCAGCTGGTGAGGCAGGAGAGGTTTGTCACATCATGTGGGTCACCTCCCTGGCCAGGGATTGAATTCGTGCGGCAGGGGCTGCAGACAGCTTCATAGCACTGCTTTCTAGCCCATTGTGCCACGAGGGAGGGACCTGTGATTTTTTTTTTTTTTTAATACGTAGAGGTGGATTTATTATTTTGATATCTTGATAAGGTTAGCTTTCTTTATTAAGTTTGCTAGAGGTGTGTGATTTGTTTGCTAATTTCTGTTTTGGTCAATCATTCTACAATTATCAAATTGGTCCTTTCCCTCCTGGGCTTCAAGATATCATCTGTTTTTATTTAGCTTATGGTCTAGTTAGTGTTAACAGCTTATAAAACTTAGGCCAACAACTATTCCAAAGGAAAATGAAGAGACCAAGGTTCCACTTCAGAGTTTAACTGATAAATTCAAAAATTTCACAGGGGATAGGGATGGTTATTTTAAAACTCAGTGTGTTTTTAAGTCTTAATTTAAAATTACTTTCACTTGTGGGAGTCTTGCCAATTAAATTCTTTTTTCTTTTATCTTTGATGTGAAAACCCAGAAAAAATAGTCAATTAAACTGCTCACTGGTTTTATTTGGTTTAATTTTGCCAAGCTCAACTCCTATCTCTGAATTTTATTTACTATTTTAGTTTTGATTTTTGTCATCAGTCAGACATCTTGAGTTCAAGAGCAGAGACAAAAGTCCCAGAGCTTATTTGGAAGCTCTCCGGGAACCTAGGATCAGTCTTGCTTTTCCTGTCCCTTTCTCGCGAGATTTGGAAACCGGAAGTGAGTTACCTTGCAGAAGTCTCAGCGAGGCCGCGGCTCTGTTAATGTTGGCGGGAGCAGAGCAATCGGTCACTTGGACCAGAGCTGATTGTCCTCCCGGTGCTTGCGAGCAGCGCTCGCTGCTTCGGCCGGCAGTATGAGGGTGGCTGTGGCTGGCTGCTGCCATGGCGAGCTGGACAAGATCTATGAGACGCTGGCACTGGCGGAACGGCGGGGTCCAGGACCCATAGACATGCTGCTGTGCTGCGGCGACTTCCAGGCGGTGCGCAACGAGGCCGACCTGCGCTGCATGGCTGTGCCGCCCAAGTACCGCCACATGCAGACCTTCTACAGGTGAGGGGTGCCGCAGGGTCCTCGGGCCGTACCGTGCTACCTGTGACTAGATAGTTTTGGGAAGAGGACCTATATACTGAGTTCGAGTCGGGATTTCTCCCCTAGCTCCTGTCTTTGTTCATGCTGTCTCCAGCAACCCGCGCTTAGTAAATGTCACTTGGCTTCTTACCATTCATTTAGGTGTTTCGGAAGGGTCGCGCGGCATGAGGGAAAAAACTTGCATTTAGAAACTGACAGATTCACCTACTTGTGCATAGTAGGACGGTGGGATTACTTCACTTAAAGATCCTGGGTTTTGTTGTTGGACGCCTGATACGTGCTAGTCCTTGTTCTAGAAGCTGAGTTTATAGTCGCGAACGTGACAAAGTTCTTGATCTCACTGAACGTGCTCTGGTTGAAATCCAAGGAGGCACCTCTTCCTTCTTAAGGGCTAGGATGAATACTGGTCAACTCATTTAGAAGGAGATTGTAAACTTTGTTAGAAGCTTAGGTTTTTCCTTTGGATCTCAATTTCCTTTTCTGCTATGCTTAATTATACGGGCATGTCTAATTGCTTTCTGTACACGTAATTTCTTCTGTGACAACTGACAATTTTACTCTTATGTATTTAGGTATTACTCTGGAGAGAAAAAGGCTCCGGTTCTCACAATCTTCATAGGGGGGAACCATGAAGCCTCAAACCATTTGCAAGAGTTACCCTATGGAGGCTGGGTGGCACCAAACATTTATTATTTAGGTGCGTATTTGCTGGTATTTTTCCTGGTTTCATGAAATGGAAGAACCAGTCAGGATTTGTATACCATTTGGGCAGTTGCTTGAAATGCGTGATATTTTGGAAATGTCTCTTAACTTAAATGTATATCATGAAAATGTAACTAAAATATTAAGGAGTTATTCATGAAAATGACCATATTTTATTGAGTGTTTTAAGCAATAGTTAATATAACTGCAAATACATTTGTCCATATTTCGCAGAGGGGTTTAAGCAATAGTTAATATAACTGCAAAGACATTACATACCATTTGCAATCCTTTATTGTTATTCCTTTTATTCAATTAAAAAACTTTATAATAGAAATTATTAGACATACACAAAGTAGGTAACAGTACACTGAATCTCTGTACCTGTTTTCAAATTTAAACAATGATTATTCTGTCATTCATTTCTCAACATACTGTCTTGTAAATTTTCCCCCCCTTGGGGAAGATTACTGGAGTATTTTAAATAAATTGCAGCCATCAGATTATTTTACTTTTAAATACTTCAGTGTATATTTTTAAGTGATACAAACTTAAAATTTAAATTTCTCAAGTACATTACTATTATTATACCTAAAGTAACAATAATCTTTTATTACCTATTGCTTAGTTTTTTTTAGATTTCTCTTTCCCAAAGTGACCTGTTTTGTTATTGGTTTGTTCAAATCAGATCCAAGAAAGGTCCACCCATTTCATTTGATTGTCATGATTCTAAGTCCATTAGACAATAAATCCATTTTACTTTCTCTTATTCCCTACCTCCATTTATTTATTAAAGATGGAATAAAAAATGGAATAAATTATTCCATTTATTTGTTAAAGAAAATGGGAAACTTTTCATGTAGAATCTTCAGCATTCCGGATTTGGTATATTGGAATTCCTTGTATTTAGAGGGCCCTTTTACCCTCTGCTTTCCCCATAATCCTTGCTTAGTTTCACTGATCCGATTAAGATTCTGCTTCGATTTTAGTCCTAGTATATTACACAGTCCTCTTATTGATTTAAATGTATATATATTTTTTCAGCTGTTTATGGATTTTTTTTTGGTGAAAACATAATAATTTCAGAAATTCACTTTCCCTATTTCATTACTATCTTGCAATATTGTAAAAAGGTGAATTGAAGATTATAAGTCAGAAATGAAATGTAGAAACTACCTTGTACCTATTGACTATTACATTTATAACATATAAATCTATCATAGGATGTTTTCCTCTTCCCCAATCCCTTACCATATTCCATAGGTGCTGTATTTATGTCTGTGGCCCTCTTAGCACACCCTGTCTCACTTGCCCCTTCCTTTCTGCATAAACTCTAGACTGATCTCTTTCTAGGCCTTCCCTCCTTGGCCTACCTTATATATTGTTGACATATTAATATGTTAAAAAAGTAACCTCATCATACTTAATTTTCCAGTAATTTTATGACTTGACTGCATGGATTCTAGGCCTTTAAGCTGTTTATTCTGTTAGTAAAGGAATTGATTTTCCCTGTAGTAATTTTAACTGTAATTTTCCAGGTTTGGCTGGTGTAGTAAAATACCGAGGCATAAGGATTGGTGGAATCTCTGGTATCTTTAAATCTCATGACTATCGAAAAGGTATTGTTGATTGACTTAAAATTGACCTGAGAATTGTGTGTGTGTTTTTTAAAGATTTATTTATTTATTCATATGGAACTGGGATACAGGCCAGATATGTGGAGGGTGAGAGGATTCACCAGAGACAGAGAGGGGAGCAGAACAAGCAGATCGAAGAAGTATACTGCTGAGGGGAGCAGCAGGCAGGTCAGGAGAGGTCTGCCTCGCCATGTGGATCTCCTCTGGGGCAGGCGGGAATTGAACTCATGCGGAAGTGGCTTTAGCATCTTAGTGCTGTGCTTTGACTCGCTGCGCCACCAGGGAGGGCCCGAGAATTGTTTTTTAACTCTAGGAATTACATGTCCCAGAAAAAATTTTTTTTCTAAAGATTTATTTATTAATGTATACAAGAACTGTGTACAGGCCAAAGGTTCAAGGGCAGTGAGAGGATTCAGCAGAGGCAGAGTGGGGAGCAGAATGACGAAGTACACTGTTGAGGGGAGCAGCAGGTGAGAGAGGAGAGGTCTGCTGTGTCCTGGAATTTTTGCTGCAATGGCTGTGGATAGCTTCACAGTGCTGAACTTAATCACTTGCACCACCAGGGAGACCCCATAGCATGTTTTAAAAAATGTAACATAAATGTGTCACTTTGTGTGTATCTTTCTGTAATTTACTGCTTTATTTAAATTTTTTTAATATATGTTGATATGTATAGCTGTTCATTCCAGTTTGTGAATAGTATTTCATTTTGTAAGCACTTCACTATAGTTGAAAAATGATTTTAAAATCAATGGGTTCAAAATTTCATAGTAACTAAAACTTCTATTCTCAGTGTAACTATGAAATCACAAGTTTGTTTCCTGCTGCCCTTCTCCTCATGATTCTAAACTGTTGACAGGGGCATATAACAATAGGTTGTGTCCTATATGGCTGATGTGAGTGCAAATTGGAACCACTTTTTTGTGAACAAATGGAAATTGGAAATCATAAAAGCACTCGACTTAGGAGTTCACCTCTAGAAATTTATCTACAGATGTATTCCACAAGTAAAAAGTGATACAAATTTGTTTCAACTTTGTCTGTAGTAACAAAAGGTAGGAATTATACATATAAATATCCAGGGTCCCTCCCTGGTGATGCTATGGTGTAAGTGTAGCACTACGAAGCTAGCTGCAGAGGCTTCAGCAGGAGTTGAAACCCAGTCAGGGAGGTGACCCACATGGCGCAGCAGACCTCTCCTGTCTTGCCTGCTGCTCCCCACTCTGTTTCTGGTGATCCTCTCACTGCCCCTGTACCTCTGGTCTGTATCAGTTCTGTATGCATAAATAAATACATCTTTAAAAGTAAGAAGAAGAAAATAAAACTCCAGAGAGACAAAAACTGTTTGAGGACTATGGAATTCCAGTGCATGTAAAGATGGGGTAGCTGATACCCTCCTATATAGGATTCTGATTCTTACAGGTGGTGAAACAGCATGTGCTGTATGTCAGCTGGCTATGGCTTTATTTCCCAAGAAGCAGGGTTGCCTTCAGTTTGTCATCCCAACAATAAGCTGGTTCAGCAATCTGATAAATAATCCAGATTCTTTGGGATTCATTATTTGTTGACTTGTTTTGCCACTGATAGAAAGCATTTTTTACCATGAAAGAAAATAAAGGGAAAAGAAAGAAAAGAGAGACAATTCTGTATAACTAATTTGGAAAGAACTCCAAAATATGTTAAGTGAATTAAACAAGGCAGTAAAGTGTACTGCCATTCATGTAAAAAAAAAAAAGGAGGGGGAGAGGAGGACAAAGAAATATGTGTACTGTATGCATAGATGACGATATAGTTGGGATGAAAATACTAAAACCTGATTTACATTGATTACCTCTTAATAGAGCTGTTTTATTTGCTGAGGAGCAGGAGTAGGAAAATTCCTGCCCCCTTTTTTTCTTGCAGCTTTCTTGAGGTGAAATTTCTGCACTATTGGAAGTATTCAGTGATTTTATAGAGTTATTTACCAGACTTAGTTATTTACCAGATTATCCAGATTTAGAACATTCCTATTAACTATGCTTGTTCACAGTTATTGTCTCCTACCTCAGTTTTAGCATCACTCATCCATCTCTTGGAGGAACACTGTTTATTCTTTACCTTTCTCGTAGTATCTTTTTATTTCATTTTTAAGATTTATTTATATATGCATCCAAGAACTAGGATATAGGCCAAAGGTGTGGGGTTAGGGGTGATGTTGAGAGGATGCAGCAGAGACAGAGGAGGGAGCAAAACAGGCAGAAATAGACTGAAATAGACTGTTGAGGGGAGCAGGGTGCGAAACAAGAGGTCTGCTGTGCCATGTGGATTAGCTTCCTGGCCAGCCAAGGATCGGACTTGTGCGACAGTGGCTGGTGACAATGCAGGGAAAAATTTTTTGATTTTAAATGGTGCACATGAACAATCAATTCCAAAATTAAGTATATTTTAATTAACAAATCATAAGCTTCCCAATTAATTAGATTTTGTGATCACTTATTACTAGAAAATAGCAGCATGCTTAGAGCATTTTTAAAATTTTATAAATTTTTTTATATCATTCTTCATTTTTGTACAGAATATGCTTTTTCATCTCGATTGTAATCTCTGTGAAATCCTAGCACCAATTCACCTGTGTCATCATCATAGTTCCTTGTGCTCTTCTCACCCATGTTTTGATCTGCCCCCCCCCCCCGTAGAATGGCTCTGGTTTTTAGTTGTCTGTTGATTTTTGTTTTTACTTTATTATAATTACTTTTACTCAGTAATCAAAAAGATAAGCTCATGCCATCTGCAGCATCATGGATGGAGCTGAAAGGGATCATGCTCAGTGGAATAAGCCAGAAAGAAAAAGAAAAACACTGGATAGTTTCACTTTTAGGAGGAATATAAAGGGTCAGGAAAAAAATAGAGTATTTTTTTAAACAAACATTTTAAGAAGCAGAAGTGTTGATGTATGATTAATTTTGGAAAAGTATTTGTATGCATTCTTGTTTGCAATATTTAAAGGGCTTAGACATAATTTATTTTTCCTCTTCAATTTAAGGTCATTTTGAGTACCCCCCTTATAATCCAGCTACAATAAGGAGTATATATCACGTAAGAAATATTGAAGTCTACAAATTAAAACAGGTATGTAAAAAGTACATTATAGTAGATTTGAAACAATTTTTTTTTACCAAAATGTATTTTGATCACTTTTGTATACTGTTTCCAGGAGGAGCTTAAGTTAGAGTTTCTAACATTTGTTCTATAGTTGCTGTTAGGAGAATCATAGTTGAACATTTGTTTCATTTTAATGGTCATAAGATTATTTATTGAGTAAAATATTTTATTTTAAATAATAGTGATTAAATAGAAGATATATAATAGTGACAGCAGATATGACATTGTGAAGATGGATTCAAGATACTGGCTTAATTGGAGATTAGGTGAAACTAGTCTTTTGTTTGAGAACTGATAAATGCCTGATGTTTGGGCTAAATACCTTTCGCACTTGATATTTCATTTCCACTCAACTCTGGTGAGGTGGGTATGACTAACTGTTATTTTATTAAGGATGACATATTAAGGGCATACAACTCAGACAGGTAACCTGCATAGGACTTTCCCAAGTTATTACGTGTCAGAGCTTGCCTAACTGATCTCAGCCCTGCCCAGCATCCCATCCAACCTCCCATGCCCCTTTACAGGAGCATAGGGATGCTTGTGTGATGCTGTTCATAACAGTTCCCTACCTTTAATGCTGTTTTCCCTTACCCTATCTAAATTCTACCAGTCTTTAAAGACCCAGCTTAGATACCACTTCCCGACAGTGTTCTAGTTTAAAGTCACATCCCTCATCCAATTTTTTGTCACACTTGTATCCCCATACTTGTTATTCAGGGGTTAGTCAATATTTTCTCTTGAGCAATTTAGTTTTCCAAGTATTTGTTTCAGATTACTTGAAAGTGCTGGGGATGAGTTAAGTATGGGGTATGCTTTGTGTGTTCCCCAATAGGGGCACCAAGCACTTTAAATGCCTCTAATATAATTTATGCAGTAAAAGGGATTTTTTTTTTTCAGTATACACTATGTGAATCCATTAGGATAAAAAAGTGGAATCTATCTTTGGGTTAATTGTGTCAGTAACATTAGAATCCTCATGAAATTTGATGTCTCTGGGTCTTAAAACAGTACTTTTTTTACCAAAAGGGTAAAGAATCATGGTTATATATTTTAGAAACTCAATACTATACACCATAGATCATTGGCAGTCTGATCAGCTTCTGTTGACTTGCAGTGTCACTGAAAATAAGATAATTTTCGAGGCAGAGGAAAAACCTACTCCTTGTTTACATGAGTAATTTAATATTTCTTTGACTTACTTAAAAAAAGTATCTTTACAATGACTTTCACAAAAATCTGGTGATATAAATGGGTAAGTAGTGATTTAGTGTTGGAGATAAGGGCGAGGGATTGCTTTTGGTTAATTTGTTTTTAAGAGTTGTCTTTTCTGTTAAAGCTGAAGCAGCCTATGGACATATTCTTATCTCATGATTGGCCAAGAAGCATATATCATTATGGAAATAAGAAGCAACTTCTCAAGACTAAATCTTTTTTCCGACAAGAAGTAGAAAATAACACATTAGGAAGTCCTGCTGCGTCAGAACTTTTAGAGTACTTAAAGCCTACTTACTGGTTTTCTGCACACCTCCATGTCAAGTTTGCAGCTTTTATGCAGCATCAGGTAGAAAACAAAATATTTTTTCTTTTATTAAGCAAACACATTGATTATGGACTAGACATTTTGGCACAGTTATAAAGTTTGAGACAAAGATAACTTTCGCCTTGTCAGTAGCTCAGTATCCAATGATGGGAAGGAGAGAAGCAAGCAATCACAGAATAGTGTAGTAAGTTTGTGAAAAGTGTAATAAGTGCTAGGATACTCTGGAATTCCAAGCCAGACTTTGAGTTGGGAATGTGGACAGAGAGATAGAGAGAAGAGCTTTCAATTCTAAAGGAATTGATGGCTGAGCTAAGTATTAAAGTACTGGGAAGGAGTAGGTAGCCAGTATTCTGGAGGGGCTGATGTATGCAGAACTGGAGGTCTAAGCTGCTGTAACTAGTCCTATGGTGCTTGAAGGTTAGGAAGAGACAAAAATGGAACAAGATCAAGACTTTCTTCTGAGCTGTATCCTGACAGTTAGGTCTTAACTAGCAGTTGATGGGGAAAGTTGGGGAGTGATAAAATCAGATTTGTTTGGCAGCAGTTTTGCCTGTGGATTGAAGTAGTGTTAAATGGGAGGCAGAGGAGGCCATGGAAGTTAAATCTGAAGTTCTAACAAAGGCAAAAGTTGACAAAGGCAAAGAAGGAACACAGAATGAAGCAGGTTTTGTGGAAATTTTGGAAGCAGATTCATCAAGATTTGGTGATAGGGAGGAGGTAATTTAGGTGACCTGTGGAAATTTTTTCTTGTGTTACTGTGCGGATGATGGCATCTGATGGAGGGTGGAGCATAAATATATACTTTTACAGACATTTGAAGTTGTTGCATTCCCCTTGATTCTGATTAAACTCTGACTTTCCCACGAATTATTCCATTCTGTAGAGAAAACATTTAGAAAATGCTGAATAGCAGAGTTGGAGATTTCTCCACAGAGATTTGTACAAAATTTTCCCCTTTAAAGTGCCATCAAGCATAGCCTTTCTCCAAGCATGGGATGTGCAGTGTGTGCAATGCTTCCCAAACTTACTTGACCAAATACTTTGCTGTGGTAGAGATACACTTTAACCAGGTTCCTTAGATGCAGTGTGGAAGGTTCTTCAGAAAACATTCCTACAGGTCCTTTCTGTTGTGGGATTACTCATTTCACTGGGAGAAGGAGGTGAGGTTACTCCTTTCAATTTCCTTTGAGCTAGTACCAAAGAGGTGATCCTCTTTTAAAGTTTAAGTCATCTGTTTATATCAGTCACCCTTCTCTTTTATGTAGGATTCATAGCATTCTTGGATTTCTGATTTGCTTCCTTTTCCCCATTCCCTCTTCTGTCATCAACCGCAGGGGTCCGTATTACTGCATTAATGATTTGTCTGATCCCTTTTTCTTGGCTTCTTCATCTCCCCTGACTTACCCAGTGTTCTCTCTCTGCCTTCACCAACACCAAAGACCACTGTTCCACAGAACTTCCCTGATGCCAGCCTCTTCCTGTGATCTCTATACCTTCCACCTTTCTTATCCCTCAGCAGCACTGAACTTATACCTGGTCCTCAGAAGGATAGATCCTTGTCCTTTATCCATATGCCTCATTGTTTTCAATGAGATACTTTTTACTGTTCCCAATATATGACTTTCATGTTTGTAACCTTCCCCAACCCATGTTTTTTTTTTTTTCTGCAAATTCATTTTCTTAAGAATAGCCTTATTGGAGTATAATTTACATATCGTGAAATGTACCTATTTAAATACACAATTTAGTAGTTTTTCGTAAATCCCCAGAGTTGTCTGGACATCACATAATCTAGTTTTAGAACATTTCCGTCATCCTCAGAAGATCCTTTGTGCCTGTTTATGGCAAGCTCTTATTCCTACCATCAATCCAGGTAACTCTAATCTTTTTTGTTTTGTGTTTCTATGGATTTGTCTTTTCATATAAATGACATCATAAATTTGACATCTGGCTTCTTTCCTTCTTCCTGAGATTCATTCATATTGTATCATGTATGAATATTTTATTCATTTTTATTGTCACAATAGTACTTCATTCTTTGGCTAGAGTACATCTACTTTTGGTGTTGTGTCTAAGAAATCAGCCTGATACTAGGTCATGAAGTTATTCTATGATTTCTTCTTGAGGTTGTATAGTTTTCACTTTGCTAATTTACTTTCAGACTATTCTGCTATCTTTATCTTTCTGCCTTTTGCTATTAGGCATTGTGGATTATATGCTTTGATTAATATTGTCATCATCATCATGAGTTTTTGCTTTGATTTTTGTAAGGCAGTTGAAGCCTCGAGTGCCTCCAAGTGCCTCGCCCATTGTTGCACAAGTGGGTATAGAACTAACTTGTTCTGGAAGACTTGCAGTTCTTCCTTTGACATATAACCTAAGGGTATGTGCAATAAAGATTATATCTGTCCTATTCAGTGTATAACTCTCCTGTGATATTTCAATATTCATTCTTTTTGTATTGATGTAACGTTGGTTTACATAGTTTGCATTTTAGAAGTATAGGACTCCCCCATACATCAATTCCTGCTACCAGTGCTGTTACCATTGTGCTCCCACCACCAAAACACCCCTGGTCTACTTCCATAGTCCACTGTGTTCCCTTTCTCCTTTCCCTTCCCACAAAATTAACATTCTTTTTAAAATTGTGGTTCATTTTATCTAGGTCAAGGATAAAGGACAGACAGCGAAAGCAACCAAATTTTTAGCCTTGGACAAATGCTTACCACATAGAGACTTTCTTCAGGTAAAAAGAAAGTAAAAAGCTTTTGCAATATAGCTTTAGTCTAACAATAATTAAAATAATTATTAGTTTTCCTTTCATAATCTGTGTTTTTTGTGATCTATGTATTCTGAGAATTCTTTGGGGATATTTAACTTACATTAATGCTATTAGGCTCTAAATTAAATTTCTATAAAATTGTATTATACTAAAATTCTTAGACTATTAAAAATAGATATATATTTCTTAAATTACTGGTTTCTTCCTGCAGGTGATAGAAATAGAACATGATCCTGATGCACCTGATTACTTGGAGTATGATATTGAATGGCTCACGATTCTTAAGGCTACTGATGATCTTATTAATGTGACTGGGCGCCTGTGGAATATGCCTGAGAATAATGGCTTGCATACAAGGTAGGTTTGGCCTTATATAAGACTTGCCTTTTCCCTTCAACTTTTTTTTGTGATCAAGGGAATAAATGAATGTAAGAACAATTCAGAGCTTACTTGACTGGAATGGAAAACTGAGTTTTCCATCAAAGGATCACAACAAACTGTACTGTTTATTACCAACTCAAATCAGTGTATAAAGTGAATAAATGTGTAACCATATAATACGGTAGAGACTTGCTTCACACATTAAAATGATTTATCCTTATTTTAGGGAGTTAAGGATATCTATTTCTAAAAATTATCTTCATTTCAAAATGGTTTCTGCTAAGTTAACTATCACTTTACTAAATAAAATGTTGGTATATGGTTACTTTTTTAATTCTTGTACCTGAAATCCATAGTTATATTTCATCATTTGTCTAGGGCTGGTAAACTATTAAAAGCCATATTTTTCTTTTCTTTTTTACTTTTTTCAGGTGGGATTATAGTGCCACAGAAGAATCTATGAATGAAATACGGGAAAAATTGAATCATGACCTCAAAGTACCATGTAACTTTAGTGTGACAGCTGCCTGTTATGACCCTAGCAAGCCACAGACACAGATACCATTGGTTCATAGGATCAACCCTCAGACTACTGAATTTTGTGCCCAACTTGGCATCACAGACATTAATGTCAGGCTTCAGAAGGCCAAAGAAGAACATCATTTTTGTGGTGAATATGAAGAACAGGATGATGTGGAGAGTAATGGCTCTGGAGAAGATCCTAGTGAATATAACACAGACACTTCTGCCCTGTCCTCTATTAATCCAGATGAAATAATGTTGGATGAAGAGGAGGAAGATGAAGATAGTATTGTAAATACACACAGTGACGCGAATATAGCATCTGTAGAACCTTCTTCTGGTCAAACCTCTGACTTTTCTACAAGCTTTTCTGATGTCAGGATCTTGCCAGGTTCCATGATTGTATCATCTGATGATACGTTGGGTTCCCCAGATGACAGAGCGGAGAAGCCTGGTGAAACTGTGGAGTTGGGAGGGGGAACAGACTTGACCCAGGTACCAGTGAAGAGGTTAAGTGATGAACATGAGCCTGAACAAAGAAAGAAAATTAAGAGGAGAAATCAAGCCATTTATACTGCAGTGGATGATGATGATGATGATGCAGCTTAAGACAATTTATATGTAGATATATGACTTTTTTAGATCCTATTTTTAGAGTTGTATTTTTGACTCAAGATTTGTAATAATGACGTTACATAAGAAATGTTTAGTTAGGTATTGACTTTGTCTTTAGGCTTTTGTATGTTTCAGATACAAATATATTAAAAATTTTATATATTTACCTTTGTGTACCTTTCTCTTGAAGATAGATTATTCATTTTCATTTTTAAGCAAACACTTATTGAATATCTATTTTGTGTCAGGTACTCTTTTAAGGTGGCACTATAAAAATTAGGAAGACAGGGATTTTTGCATTTAAGGAATTACTATTTACCAGTGTAAATAGTTTGATGTATAAAATATACATAATTATATTTTGTTTACAGAATTAAGTCTCTATATGTAATAATGTGTTTTCTTTTTCATTTATTATAAATATTTTTTCTAATCTGCTCATACTGTCTGTGAAATATAATTGCAACTGATGATAAGATTTCAGGAAATAAATTACCTTCTATATTAAACACTGGTAAGCATAAACTCTTACATTTAATTTCTGAGATTAATATAACTCTTTGACTTTGTATGTTTTATTTTTTTTAGCTTTAAATGTCTATCATAAGTTTTTTGGGTCAATTTTAGAATAATTCAGTTTAGTGTTACTGGCAGGTATTGAGCACAAATGCTGCCCCTCCTGCTGCATGATGGATGCTGGTATTAAAGTGTTTTTAGTGCTCTATGTGGAAAAACCATACCTCTGTTTTATCTCTTTTTTTTTTTAAGATTTATTTATTTATTCAAACAGAACTGGGGTACAAGCCAGAGGTGCAGGGGTGGTAAGAGGCTTTACCAGAGACAGAGTGGGGAGCAGAACAGGCAGATCGATGAAGTACACTGCTGGGGGGAGCAGCGGGCAGGTCAGGAGAGGTCTGCCACGCCATGTGGGTCACCTCCCGGGCGGGATTGAACTCATGATGAAGTGGCTTTTAGCTTTTTAGTGCTGTGCTTTAACCTGCTGCGCCACCAGGGAAGGCCTGTTTTGTCTCTTTTTAAAATGCCTGTACAGTCTGAGGAGATCGTTGCTCTGCATCTGGATCAGAAATCATAAAATCCAAAGATTCTTCTGAAATCTGATCATTACTTAGCAGTCCAAATCCTAGAACCAATTCAGGAGAATGTTATAACACTTAGCTTCCATTTTGTCAGCATTTGACTTAAAAAAGGTTTTTATCTTTATTGCCATCTACTTTTTTCATTTTTTTCTAATTTTTCTTTTTTATAATTGAATATATAATTCACTTATTTTAACTATTATTTACATAATAAATAGATTCCCCCCCCCAGTGCTTGAATAGAATTACATAAGTTCTGATACTTAGTATGTCTTTTCAGAAAATTTTGATAAAACCAGAGAATAACTAGATATAAATAATTGTGTTAATTAAGGAGAGAAATAACCACTGAAACAGGAGACTCAAACAGATAAGGCCAGATGGATGATTAATTTCCTAGAAAAGGAAGCTAGAATTTATTGAAATCCAAGTATAGATAAAAAGTATAAAAAGATTTTTATAGAAGAAATAGAGAAAATAACCAAAGAATTACTCCTATAGGGGAGCATTTGACAAGTGGTTTTATGAGGAAATTACCAAACTTTGTAAAGTCCAGATAATCCAATAAAATATGGAAAATGAAGGAAACTTTACAGTTCTTTTAAGTGAAGCATATATAACATTGATTCCTAAATCTGGTAAAAATTGCACACACTACAAAAACAGACACACAGACCAATGAAACTGAAGAGAAAGCCCAGAAATAAAGCTGCATGTATATGGACAGCTAATCTTTGACAAAGGAGCAAAGAATATGCAATAGAATACGGACAGTTTGTTCAGTAAATGGTGCTGGGAAAACTGGACTGCTATAAGCAAAATAATGAAATTAGACCACTACTTCACAGCATGCACAAAAAACAACTAAAAATGGATAAAAGAACTGAACATAAGACCTGAAACCATAAAATATATAGGAGAAATATAGGCAAAACACTACAAGACATAAATCTTGTAACATCAGTAACATCTCTAAAGACTTATTCTCCAAAGCAAAGAAAGTGAAGGATAAGGTAAATAGCTGGGATTACAGCAAACTAAAAAGCTGTACTACAAAAGAGACATTAACTAAAAGAGACACCCTATTGATGGGGAGAAAATTTTTGCACCCCATACTACTGAAAAGGGACTGATCACACAGGTATACAAAGAACTCACATGACTCAACAAAAACAAAGTAAATTACCCTGTCAAAAAATGGGCAGAAGAACTTTCAAAAGACACTTCTCCAAAGAAGAAATGCAAATGGCCAACAGGCATATGAAAACATGTTCAAAATCCCTCATAATCAGGGAAATACAAATTAAAACCACAATGAGATAATACCACCTTGCACCAGTAAGAATGGCACATATTTAAAACACTAGATTAACAACAAATGTTGGTGAAGATGTGGTGAAAAAGGAACTCTTCTACATTTCTGGTCCCAGTCTGCATTCCTATGGAAAACTGTGTAGTGATTCCTCAGACTACTGAAAATGCTAGCCTATGACTCAGCATTTTTTCTCCTAGGAATCTACCCAAAGGACACAAAAACTAACTCAAAAGAATATCTGCACCCTCATGTTTATTGCATTACTATTTATAATAGGGAAGACTCAGGATCACCCCAAATGCCCCAAAATAGATGATTGGATCAAAAAGATGTGGCATAGATACACAATGGAATACTATTCAGCAATCAAAAAAGATGCCATTCACAGCAACATGGATGAAACTAGAAGGGATTATGCCCAGTGAAATAAGTGAGGAGAGACAGAAAAATACTGGGTGGTTTCACTTATGGGAGGAATATATGAGAACCAAATCAAGGATCAGTAACAATAAAAAGCACAGCAAACCAAAAATAGACATGTATAAATCAGAGACATTCTGCAGGGGAGGGGGAGGAGAAGAATCTAAACAAGGGCAAAAAAAGCACAAGGGACTATAGTGACGGTGCATTGGTGAATTGGTGGTTGAATTTCTATGGGGACTACACCTGAGAAGAAAGCAAACATTGTAAAAAAAAAAAAATGAGCAATGATGTAAAACATAAATCATTTAAAAATTGTATACACAAAAATAAAATCCATAAACCAGTCTCACAAATGAACATTGATGCAAGTCCTAAATGTTGATAAAATTGGCAATCTAAGGCACAATTTAAGATGATATAATATGCAAAGATGATTCAATATTAGAAAATCTATTTTTCACATATTGTAGAAAATCTATAATTCACATATTGTAGATCTAAGCCCAGATATGTATTAAGTAGAGAGCTCCATGAATGATGAAAAGGCCTTTGACAAAATTCAACACCCATTTGAGTTAACAGAAACTAGTAAAAACTAGCATTCTGTTTAATGAGAAAACAGTATAAACATGTCTATCAGCCAGTGAAAATGATGATACCTGCCACCTCTATCACAAAATAATCAGGCAGAAGAAAACAATTAGGGGAATGAAAATTAGAAGAGGCATTCACAAGTAGCCTAACAGGTTAGGTGGAAAACAAACTAATATCTAGTGAAGTAGTAAGATGTATAAGTCAGTATTTTTCAAATATACAACTGACAGTGAATGGTATAAGCAAAACCCAAATACTTAATATAGGCTCAAAACTGGGCCCTCCCTCGTGGCGCTGCAGGTTAAAGCTCAGCACCAAGAAGCTAAAGCCACTTCAGTATGAGTCTGATCCCTGCCTGCCCCCAGGTGACCCACAGGGCGTGGCAGACCTCTCCTGTCCCGCCCACTGCTCCCCTCAGCAGTGTACTTTGTCGATCTGCCTGTTCTGCTCTCTACTCTGTCTCCAGTGAATCCTCTCACCACTCCTGCACCTCTGGCTTACCCCAGTTCTGTATGCACAAATAAATATTTTTTTTTATGAAAAAAAAAGATATGCTCAAAGCTATAATGAGAAGAATCTTGAAAAATACAAAAGTATACTTTGAAATAATGGGAAAACATCTCATTATAGGATAGCTAGACAACATTTTAAATATGCCTGCCACTTCTTCCCACAATAATACATACATTTAAGTTAATTGCAATAAACGCATCAAAACAAGTGTTTTGTTTTTCTGGAGCTAGACAAGTTGATTTTAAAGTACATGTAAACATGTAAATTAGAACAGGCAGGAAGATACACTGATATTATTAGCTACTAATTCATACTAGTAAGCCTCAATGATTAAGCAATGTGGTATTGGTGCATGAATGAACCAAACAGTGGAAAAGAAAGACCAGAAATAGGCCTGAACATAAAATTTCAACATATGATTCGTGGCATCCCAAGTCACTGAGGAAAAAGATGATGCATTAAAAAGTAGGGTTGGGTCTCAGTATTTCCATTAGAAAAGAAAGAAACTTGGGCTTTATATTTGGTATCTCAAAATAACTCCAAATAGTCAGAAATTTAATGTGAAGACAATCCATATTAACTCTAGATTAAAATATGGGTAAAGGCAACTCCCTGGTAGTGCAGGTGTTAAAGAGCTCCATCAAGTTATTGCCAGCCACTGCAGCACAAGTTTGATCCCCAGCCAGCCAGGGAGCTAAGCCATGTGGCACAGCAGACCCCTCTTTTCTCACTACTCCTCTCAGCAATGTTTTTCAGTAGATCTACCTTTCTTTTTTTTTTTTTTAAAGATTTATTTATTCGTGCATACAGAACTGGGGTACAGACCAGAGGCTCAGAGGCGGTGAGAGGCTTCACCAGAGACAGAGTGGGGAGCAGAACAGGCAGATCTACAAAGTACACTGCTGAGGGGAGCAGCGGGTGGGTCAGGAGAGGTCTGCCACACCATGTGGTCACCTCCGGGGTAGGCGGGAATCGAACAGTAGCTTAAGCTTCTCAGTGCTGTGCTTTAACCTGCTGCGCCACCAGGGAGGGCCAGATCTGCCTTTCTACTCCCCACTCTGTCTCTGTGAATCCTCTCACCCCCCACACCTCTGGCTTGTACCCCATTCTTGTATGCATAAATAAATAAGTCTTTAAAAATATATATATGGCTTACTTTCCTCATAACTTGGAAATAAGTTATGATAACTATATCTCAAAATTGAATTAAAAAAGAGAAAAATTTTCAATAGACATAAAAATTGAATATTTGTTCATATCAACCCAAAATAGTACACCATAAGCAGTGTTAGAAGGTAAGCAACAAACTGGAAGAATGTATTTATATCTCATACCACAGACAAAGAACTCATCTTCAT